TTCTGATTGAATATAGCTCTTGTTGAGGCTTTTTTTCGGTAGTCAGGAGAATCCTAAATTAAAAGTAGGGACCAGAGTGACTAGAGTTTATGAAAGCATATGGGGGGGAAGCTGTTGTAGAGATAGTTTTCTGTGGTGGGAAGCTATGTTCTTTGCTGCAGGAAGGTAGAATGATGACTATAAAAATAAACTGATATTATCCATTGACTTGAGCCCTATTCACTTGCCCAGTTTTCTTTTAAGTAAATCTTGTTTGCGATTACTGCGTGTTACAAAACTGTATGCTGTTGTGAGCTTTTTCAAGTGAAGGACTTTGCTTAAAAACTAGTTCAACCTTAGTACAAAAATAGTGAAAAGACATTCAAATAAATCAGTCCAATTTGGTACTAACACGGGTGTGTACAGTCAGCCCTCATAACTGTGGTAGCAGCATTATGATATGTGCCTCTCTCTCTCTGCATGCTACAGTTATCAGAAACACAAGAGAACTTGCAGACTGAATGTGTTTGATGACCTAGGAGATTATGACATTGTAGAAACTAAAACTGATTATACTCTTGGTAAAGGTCAGCTGGTAGCGGCCTCCCTTCTGATTTAGGGAAAACAGGAATCATGTGTGAAGATGTTTAAGAAATTCTGCTGCTCAGAGTGGAAGTGATGGTGGCCTATTAGAGCATATCATGAGCAGCTACGATGAATGTGTCACTTGAGCTGTGTGGGAATAAATCATCAAAGATGCTTTTCAAGTGTTATGCCAAGATCAGATCAGTGGTCAGAATGTGGGAAGCAGTTGGGTAAGTGGTGTAACCCAAGTGGGAGTATTTAACACTTCTTTAGACCACTGAGTAATACCTTTAACAGGCAGGTGTGTGGTAGTAGACTCAGTGTATATGGAAAAAGAGCCATCACCTTGTTTTGGGCTGATCAGTGTGTTTTAGATAGTGAATTTGGTAGATGTAGAAGATAACTGCTGGACTTTGAAAATAATAAATTAGTATTACAAGTGTATGCATCAGAAATTAAAGCTTTAAACTTTTGAAGAATTTTTTTTTTTTTAAAAAAGTGCTTTGACTTGGAGGAAGCAGCTCAAACGGATCTGTTTTTTGTAATAACAAATGAGCAAATGTAATAGACTTCAGCAGGCATTGTAATATACTGATTGATTATAGTTTTCTTAATGCCATACATATTTTCCTACGTATCTATAGTTAATTGAAACACTTCTTACCATCTTTTTCCCTCTCTTCACATACCCAAAATTTTTAATCCCTTCATTAGTATTTATAAATGATTATTGCCAAGTACCTCAGTCATACATAAATTAAATGACGCTTTAAAAAAAATGGCTGAAACTGAATTCCCAACAGTTGATCAATTTTTATTGCCTCCAGCTTTTTCTTACATAAAGTGTTTTAGCTAGAAAAAATAATAAAAAGCTCTGTTGAATGTCTGTAAAGGTACTTAGCTATTGATTATAGTATATCACAAGACTGGCATGGATTTCCAAGATCCTTCTGTAAGTGTGGAACTTCTTTCCAGATACGCTGATAGCAACATTATGTACTGTGGCATTTTGAACAGTATCACAGAATGGTTTGGGTTGGAAGGAACCTTAAAGACCATCTAGGCCCACCCCCCTGCCATGGTCAGGGACACCTTCCACTAGCCCAGGTTACCCAAAGCCCCGTCCAACCTGGCCTTGAACCCTTCCAGGGAGAGGGCAGCCACAGCTTCTCTGAGCAACCTGTGCCAGGGCCTCACCACCCTCACAGGGAAGAATTTCTCCCTTAGATCTGATCTAAGTCTCCCCTCTGTCAGTTTAAAACTGTTACCCCTCATCCTGTCCCTACACCCCTGATGACGAGTCCCTCCCCCTTTTCCTGTAGCCCCTTTCAGTCCTGGGAGGCCACTCTAAGGTCTCCCCGGAGCCTTCTCTTCTCCAGCTGAACCCCCCAACTCTCTCAGCCTGTCCTCACAGGGGGGTGCTCCAGCCCCCCCAGCATCTTCATGGCCTCCTCTGGCCCCACTCAAGCAGGTCCGTGTCCTCCTGCTGTTGGTGCCCCCGAGCTGGACCCAGCACTTCATGGGGGGGTCTCACGAGAATGGAGCAGAGGGGGAGAATCCCCCCTCTCTTCCTGCTGCCCACACTGCTCTGGGTGCAGCCCAGCACACGGGTGGTTTCTGGGCTGTGAGTGCACATTGCTGGCTCATGGTCAGTTTTCCATCCACTGATACCCCCAGGCCCTTCTCGGGGCTGCTCTCCATCCACTCCTTGCCCAGCCTGTATCTGTGCTTGGGATTGCCCCAACCCATAGGCAGGACCTTGCACTTGGCCCTGTTGAACTCCATGAGGTTCACATGGTCCCCCCTCTCCAGCCTGTCCAGGTCCCTCTGGATGGCACATCCCTTCCCTCCAGCGTGTCCCTGCACCACACAGCTTGGTGTCGTCAGCAAACTGCTGAGAGTGCCTTGATCCCACTGTCCATGTCCCCAGCAGAGATGTTAAACAGCGCCACTCCCAGCACCCACCCCTGAGGAGCAGCACTCCTCACTGCTCAACACTGGGACATTGAGCTGTTGACAGAAACTCTTTGAGTGTGACCATCCAGCCAATTCCTTCTCCACTGAGGTGTCCATCCATCAAATCCATGTCTCTCCAATTTAGAGACAAAGATGTCATTGGGGACAGTGTCAAAGCTTTGCACCAGTCCAGGTAGATGAAGTGAGTTGCTCTTCCCTTCTCCACCAACACTGTAATGCATGGAGAAGGCCACCAAATGTGTCAGGCACGATTTGCCCTCAGTGAAGCCATGTTGGCTGTCACCAATCACATCCTTATTTTCCATGTGCCCATGTGTATGTCTTGTGGGAATTAATGTTTCAGGTCATGACTTGGGTATAGGCTGGAATTTTACACATGTAATCAAAATTTTGCATAGCATCTACAAAGAGGCAGTGGAGCCATGGTAGAGCAGAAAGTAAGGATGTTCAGGTCTGGAGGAATTTGCCTGTAAAGAGAAGTGCTGCATTCTTTCCAAACTAAGAGTAATAATTGTTGATATGATCAGAAGACTTCTAGCTGATCTAGCTTGTGAAAGACAAGGGTCCAGACTGCTAGCAGTTTACTAGAGTATTTGTAGGACAGCACTGACTGATACAAGGTAAAACGCAGCTGGTGGGCATGTGTTACACTTTAATGCTTTGTACTTTGCAAGTTAGCCTGAATAGAATACTTATTAGAAAATGTTTTTTCTTAACCTTTGAGAAGTCTTCTAGCTTCTGAGCCATCTTGGGAGTTGATGGAGGAAAAGAGCAGCTAATTGAATCACAGTAGAATAATGCATTATTTTCCCCTGCTGTTATTTCATTTAACTCCGTGTTGGCAATACATCATATCTCTTCATGAGGCAGATGGGCATATCGGTTTCTTGCTTTTTAAGGTGAGGTAGTAAAGCTAAGATTTGCCTGTCATATTTACAGACTACAAAGTGTGCATGACAGTACTTACTGAAAAGATTTTGCAGCTAGTAATATCAAATGAACAGGAAGCAAATGTTTATTGATAATATTAAAGTGTATCTTCGTGGTAACCCATGTACAGCTTCTTAAGCTGTGAGTATTAGGTACTGGTAACTGATAGAATTGTTATTCATGGATCTCTGAAAGATTCTTTGTGGTTTTTGTAATTTGTGTAGATGTGTTTTTAAGTGTTGTTTTGCATATATTAAATTACTTTCCTTTTTTTTTTTTTTTTTTCAAAATAACTTTCTTTGGAGGACATAGAAACCAAGTTTAAGTATTGCAGTTTAAGACCTTTCCACCTGAAATACAGCATGCATACAGCTGTTGCATTAATTTTCATATGCCTGTTTAATAGTTGTAGCAACTAACAGTATTTTGTGTGCTATAATTCAAGGCCTAGCTGTTGTACTCTAGTCTGTTTGTTGTACATAGTATGTGTGGAAACCTACAACAGATCTAAGAGCATCTAGCTCTCTTCAGCCGATATTTAATGTTGGCTTCTGTTGAAGTTAGATAATCCTGCAGTTCATGCAGTTCTGCTGAGTGCTAGGTGTCTTTGTGTAAATGTCCTGGAAATAGTTGATTTTTATTCAGGGTGAATTGATTTGGTGGTTTAACTTTTGCAACATGGATCATTACGTACACAACAGGATGATAGGATAGGTGGTGGGACTGCGAGTGTGCTTGGGTATTCCCCTGCCCATCTCTGGCTCAGGAAGGGGGGTAGGCACCTGTCTAGCCTGTAGTTCTATAACAAGTGGTCTGGGGGTGAGGGTGGGGTTGGTGGTGTAATACCAAAAATATAAGAAGACAAGTCAGTCTCTTTGTAAACTGCTTTTTTTCATCCAAATTTACAAAATTACTGAAGAAAACAGACTGATAGTTGTGCCTCTGTATATTTGAAATACAATTTAAAGTGCTACCAAAAAGTACTGGCAAAGAAACTGGCTGATACAATGCAAGGAAAATGCTTATTCTTCAAACTTGTAAATACTTTGAGAAGTCTTAAGTAAGGCTAGCTTGTTGCTTATTGTTAAGTATATGCATACATTCTTACAGGATGGAGATTTTAATCTATTTATCAAAAAGAATTAGGTTTAGAAAATCAGAAACGTGTATCTTAAGCTTTCAGGAGACCAAACTTGAGAACCTTTATGTCAAGAAGTTAGTTGTAGATATATGCAAATAAAAGAAGTAGACAAGAGCTCAACAGCTGACATTCTTCTTCTGTGAGTATTTGGAATTGACCACATAGTATGATTCTCAATGACTCCATGTTACATACACTTCAACACTGTTACTCCATGAGTATAAATAGATGTGTTACAAGGGATCTATCTACATACTTTAGCGTCTGTCCTGGATAAACAATCACCTTCTGTGTGTGGCTATAAACCTCCTGGATGTGTGTTTAACTCCTCAGGCCTAGGAAGCAAAGCCTTTCTTCAGGCACAGGTCAGGGCTAGTAGGGAGCAGTTAAAAGGATACAGTAAAGGGGAAGTTTTGTCTACAGGACCTATGTATCACTGCCGTTGCTGTTTTTCCAGTGAACCTGGTGTTTTGCCACTGCTCTGCTACATGATACTGAAATTCCTGAAATCATCAGATGTGGTTCTCTCATTACTGACAGCATGGAACCATTGAAACAGTCTGCAGAGGCTATCAGAGAGATTGTAAAGTAATCGTTTCTGGATGTGTACCTTCTTACCTATAGTGCTCACAAACTACTGCTGTTTCACTATGGCAACTCAAATGTTGTTACTGTTTGTCTGGTGAATTTGTGTATTTTGCTACGTTCTACACTATAATTAACCTTTTTATATTCTTTAATTCAGTCGTGTGCACACGTCCATATTTACAGTACTAGAACTTTATAGTTAAGTAAATCTGAGTTTGACTAAAAGATCCTTTCCCGTTTCAGGGAAAGATGGAGTTAAAAGCTGAATGTTCTAAACCTTTGAAATAAGTTTTCTGTTTTCTAGTTCATCTAATATTTTATTTAAAAGAACACCATCTAATTTAGGTGTAATGTTTGCTTTGAATGCAGTGTGTGTGTGTGTGTGTGTGTGTGTGAAAACTTGCTCTGTATCTCTTAAGTTGTAAAGTACAACTAAATTTGCATTTTTATGATACATTTTGCAACATTGCCACTCCATGAAAACAAACCAAAAATGTCCCCAACTTACTTGTTTCTTGTATGTAATTTGAACAGAATTAGAAATTGAACAAGCAGCCTTAAAAATAAGGTAATAAATAGTATCTTACAAAAAAAATTATTTTTAGTAATTGCCAAATTGTCTTATAATATTCTTCTATGTATGTGTGGGTTTTGCCTGATTGTAGACTCCAGTCTACATCTGTTTAAGCATTGAAAAATACTGTATAATTCCTTTCTAATAAACACATTACATATCATTACTGTAGGGAAAAAGATCTTGCAGACGCTCTAGAGGAAGGAGGCTGTGATCTTGAAACAGTGAGAAACATCATTCAAGGCAGGCAATTGCCTACTGATCTGAGAGCCAAAGTCTGGAAGGTAAGTATGAGCTTATATCAAGAAGCAGGAAATACTTGAAGTTGTGTTTGAGGCAAATGATTCAATAACCAGGCATCTCTGCAGAAGAAATGTAGTATTGGAATTTTAATACGCATGTATGCTGATTCAGTTTTAAAATATTCCCTGTGAGTTAAATTATTGAGTTCATGAATTGGGTAACTACAAAAGGACACTAAAATGTTTAGACGGCTTTCCATTTTTGTTTTCAGATTGCACTTAATGTTGTAGGAAAGGGGGACAGCCTGGCATCCTGGGATGGCTCTTTAGACCTACCTGAACAGAGTATAATTCATAAGGATTGCCAAGAGCTCATTGGTAAGTCCAATTACGTTTAAATCACCGATGTGAAAACCAGTATATTCTCAGTTGTATTAGGTCTTTGTTATTTGAATTAAATAATCTGGGTGATGTTTACATGTTGGAGGAGACTTTGAGGAGGAAGATGAGAGGGCAGAGAAAATCAGTAAGAAATCATATCATAAGAAAACAGTAGTATCTTATCTGTATTCAGGACTCTGGGATGAGTGACGTCATGGAATTTTAAAGTATTACCTTGTACATGATAGTTTGCATGATCAGAAAAGCTTCAGGAATTGATAAAATGGTAATTTTTTCCCAAGCTCCATCTATTAAACCAGACACTCTTTCTAGAGTGTCCTTCAACTTTTTAATTGTGTAATGACTGGTTCTTAATCTGAAAAGCTGATATAGCACCAAAATGCATATAACCTTTAAGAGAAGAAATCTATTAAACATTTTTGGACTTTAGAGACTGTTTTGAAGAGAGGTATTTTTTTAATAGCATTTTCAGCAAAAATGAAAGGTGGTGTTTGTGAAAGCAAGACGCTGCCAGGACACTGGAAAAATAATACTCCAGTATGTCTGTAATGAGCTGCAGCGTTGCAACAGGATCTGGTTGGCAGCTCATCACAAAAATGGCCAAATCCCTAACACCATGCAGTAGCATTAATGTCAGTGATCAGATGATGGAGTCAGTGCTGACTCATAAATTAGGATACTTCTTATGGCATTAATAAGAGAATCTTCTTTTTTATTACCTGTCATGCTTTAATTTATTCTTGCACAATTGAAAGTTAAGGGAGAGAATGGAGTTAGTGAGTGCATACATACCTCCTGCTTTTAAAATGCAGTTCTGCATTTTCTAGCTCTAGAATCTAGTAGGCCTTATTTTCCTTCTCTGCCTTCTAAAGGAAAAGGGGGGGAAAATTTCCACTGTGTTATTTAATCACAGTAACTTTTCAGGAAGATGACAAAACACCCCAATTAGTATTCATCACATATAAAAACAAGCACTTCAATGTCTGTTAGTTCTCCTCTTGTCTTTACTGGCAAATATTTTGTAATACATAACAATATTAAACTGATTAAAGTAATAAATGTAAAATTTGTTCAGAATGAAGGTTATCAAGAGGTTTCAGTTTGGGATTGGATTAAATCTCGCTACTTCAATTTTTTAGCAAAGCAAGTAGTCTCCAGAGGGGAAAGTAAATCTTCGGATGGCATTTGAGTTTTATGTATGATTTTATTTTCCTGAGAGGTAGAGGAAAGGAAATGACAAATATTGACTGGCTTTGATGGGGAAAGTATTAAACTTACGTAGTTAAAACTTTATTAACAGTAATGAGGCTCATGGCCTGCTTGTAATTGAGGGGGAAAATATGACCCAGAAATTTACTGCCACTGCATTAATGTAGTGCGTTGGCATCTCTTCCCCCCCATCCTGGCCATAGCATGGGTATTCTTTCTTTTACTGTAAGTCAGTTTAGCTATAGTAAAATTGACAGGGCCTGAGTGCATTAAAACAAATTTGTCCCTGAAATATATAATTCATAAGTGTATTTGATATTAGATTTCTCATTTAAAAAACACAAAATGTTTTTAATATTAAAGTGAAAATTGTATGAACTTACACAAAAGTGTGGTTTCACTATGATCTGTGTAATAAATACTGGTATGTTTAACTGTAAGATAAGTAGCTATTTTATCACATGGGGGAAGGCATAATTGGAGTCTGGCACTGAGGTTTTTCAGTATGTCTTAGAGATTCATTGCCTCCAGTGAGGCAAGATGCCAGCACTTTTTCTGTCGTGTTGTCAGCCTTGAGTAAGAGTCTGTGCAGAAAGATGCTTTGGAACTAATGAAAACCTAAGCTTTGTGTATGTCTTTAAGTCCATGATGAGTATTTAAGAAGTATTTAGTTTGCTACCTTAATTACAGAACTGGCTTTGTACTGGCTTTTTGATGCCGTTTTTCATCCAAATGCAATAATACGAATTACGGATTCAGAATTAGCCTTTCATAAAATAGGGATCGTCTTTACTTTTCAGCACCTTACCACATTTGTAAGAATTTGAAACAATTAACTACATTATGTAAAAAAATTATATTTCATGGTTAGTGCATCTTCTGATTAGCAACAGTACCAAAATTAAATCCAAGCCAGCTGTAGTTACAAGTAATCAAATAATTTCTCTTTTTATAGTTACCCTAACAACCCCAAATTTAAACTACTGCTAGGAAAATTACTTTGTAGCAGAGATTAAAAATGTGATTTTTAGGTTAACACTAAAATTTAAGGCTGTAAGCCTATCTGATTTCAGACTGCTGGTTTTAGTAAATTTGCATGTCCGTGGGCTTTTGAGGAATTGGAGTTATGCATTGTGTTGAAGTTCTGATGAATTTGTTGTAGAGTTGAGCATAAGTAATGTGCTGAGCACATCCAACAAGAATGGAAGAGGGCATTCTGTGCATTAAACAAATCTACCTCTTTGTTTTGTATAGATCCTGGAAAAAAACAACTTCTTTCATCCTGCTGTTGCGATATTTAAATGATATTTAAATGCCTTATCCTACTGGGGTTATAAAATCACTTGTATTTGGATGCCTTTTTGGATGCCTTTCTGTAAGCATTTAATCCAAACTGCTAGGTTTTTTGTTTGTCTGGTTTTGTTGCCTTTTTTTTTTTTTTCCAAGCAGTCCCTATTGGTGCAATTTGTGCTAAGAAATAATCTCATTTAATGTCTTTGAAAGGCCATTATTATGGTTTATATTGCTCTGACTATTTCAGACCAGTTGTCAGTGCCAGAAGAGGAGAAGTCAGTGTTACTTCTGGATATTGAGTCTGTTATTACTTTTTATTGTAAATCACGCAATGTTAAGTACAGTTCTTGCCTCGGCTGGATACATCTACTCAAACCTCTGGTGCACCTTCGTTTGCCACGCAGTGATTTGTACAACTGCTTTTATGCTATCATGAATAAATTCATTCCAAGGTAAAATTATCTTTCTTTTGCCTGTGTGCTATTTTTATTGGAATTAAAAATATTCTCTGTAAGGATGTGCATGTTCGTTTTGGCTAGAGTAGCACTGTTTGTAGCAAAGTGGTCAGATTCCTTCATGTGATAATAAATTGAACCATTTTTCAATACTTGTTGGCTTGAAGTCTGGGAGATGTTTGAGTTGGTTTAAGACTTAAAGAGTTAGCAATGACTGATGCAGACTCCACTCTATGTGCCTTTTAAAGAACAATTTCTGTTTCATGCAATATTTGTTTAGGAACTAATTCACATGTTATATGAAAACATTTTTTTCTTTCCTAGTGTTTTTGATATCTAAAGCACTTCTATCCTTATCACTTCAAAGTATTTCATAAGCACTAAGCCTCAAAAACTCCTTAGTAAGAAGTAGTTGATATTTTCCCTGTATTCTATGGAGCTGAGACTGATTTTTTTTTTAATTAATTAAAAATTAATTAAGTAGATGAAAACACCATCTCAGATACACAACTGAGTGGAGAGTGATTTGTGTGAGAGCTTTTAAGGTAGTAAGTGGATAGTGGAAGTGTGTCTCATCCCAGGGACCATGTGAGGAAAGTGCATTACATCTGCTTACATTTCATCAATATTACCTCTAATAGAGGGTAGAAAATAGGTTTTGGGTTTTTTGTTAAAAAACAAAACAACAACACACCTCTCCTAAAGTAAAATGTAGGTTAGTTTCCAGGGCAGTTTATTTAGCTAAACTTTTAAATTGTTTTTGCTTTGCTTTTGTGTTTTACCAGTCCTTCCACTGGCTGAGGCTGCTGCCTCAGTGGGGTCTCTAGCCTAGGAAGTAATGGATAAATACAGGAATTCACAATTCTGATAAGTGGCGGGGGGTTGAGAGCAGCTTTTTTTTTCTTTTTTTTTTTTTTCTGTGAGGTTTTTATTTTAAACTGGGTATTTATTAAGGGCTGATTCCTACCATACGTACCAGAAGTAAAAAAATTACTGAGCAAAGCAGTTAAGAAAAATGTGTAAACAAGATTGTTCCACTGTCAGTAAAAATGTGGAAAGATTCTTTATTAAAGTTATTTTTGGGTATATACCCATTCATAATGTTAAAAGGTGGTAAAGAATAACTGGAGTAATTGACCATATTAACCATTCAAAGTTATTTGCAAGTCTACTTCTTACACTAAATTCATTAATAGAATTTTTTCTTCTTTTCATATTTTTTGTCCTGTTAACTTAATGGGAAGTCAGAGTTCTTGTGATTAATTTCAAAAAGAATCGCCACATATAATCTGCTGTGAATGTTTCTGTTTCACCACCATAGCCATATCCTTGTTTAAGAAAGTTAGGCTGGTAATTGTGCTTGGATATCTATGCTAAGTTTCTAATGTCTTTAAACAACTGTTTCTTCATTTTTAAATACTCCTTTATTTCCTGCTTGATGAGTTGACATTTAATTGTTATTCATGTATGAAATATCTATTACATTTCCTTTGGCTGCCATATTAAAATTATTAATATTTTTTTAATTCTGTTTTTAGTTAACAGCATTGATACCATGCTAACCTTGGTTTGATATCTAAATCTATTTTAAATACTTCTGTATTATATACTCTATCAAGTCTTGGCAACATTTTGTTCTTTCACATGCTTTATTAATATACTGGGGTTTTCAGTGTTTGTGGGGTTTTTTGTTGGTTATTTTTTTTTTAACTCTTGGGGCAAATTGACTTCATGATCAGTCCCTCTGAATTAAAAGAACAATATAGGAAACTACATAATCATAGCTAATAAAGAATTGCTACTGATAGCCTGACAACTGGAATATTACGAGGGGGTTTATAATTATTTTCACTTCTACTTTTTAGGGATTGTTTTTTGAAGGGAAGACCATTCCATCTATTTAGACTGCTTCTTCAGTACCATGAGCCTGAACTCTGCTCCTTTCTTGATACTAAGAAGATGACTCCAGACTCATATGCACTCAACTGGGTAATAAAGTGAAAGTAGGGAAACATAATGAAAATTTGTTAAAATTTAAGTACATGTTGCCAGTTTATGGAAGAGCAGTACAAGAAATTGGATCTGCATATATTGAATAAATTGCATGTTTTAATATAGTGGGAGCTTGTTGTTTTCAGTAAGATATGAAATTTTGTTAACCTCACACCTCTGTTGTACTGGATGTTAATTGAGCCACTAATGTTAGGAACTACTTGGAATAGTAAGAATGGGAGCAACTTAACATACTGCAAAAATAAGAAGCCATGATGTTAATTTTTATAGTGGGTGGCTGTATGGTTGAAGATAACAGATAAACATCAACCTAATGGGTCTTTTAAATTTACTTGTTTTAAAAACCTCTATGCTAATAGATTTATTTAGCTGCCTCATACAGTGCTATGCCTTTTAGAATTTAGGCACACAGATTTTACAGCTCTTCAAAAAAAGGTCAAAACTGCCTCAAGTTGGAGTACTTACAAAGATGCTTACCTCAATCATTTTTTTACAAAGTTTGTGAAGCAGGACTACAACATTAAGTAGCAAAATTCTCATGCTTTGGTGCTACTTAGTGTATGCAGTACAAAATCATAATACAGTGCTTGCAGAGGCAAGGTCTGTAAATTGATAAAGAAGACTTCATGACCCATGAACTCTTCTTTCATACCCATTGGCTTTGTAACTCTGTGTACTTTCAGTTAAAGAAGTAAGACTGAAATGTATGATTAAACTGTCTTTATTTGTTTGGGGATTTTTAAGATGATTTTTTTTTTTAGGCTGCTACCCATTTTAATATAAAAATGTGTCCAGGAAGCATTTCCATATTCTTAAAATCTGTCTTTTGCCAGTCATCAGCCCTCAAAAGAGGAATCGTGTCTTTTTTTACTACTGAATGTCCCTTTTTAAAATATATAATCTTCCTCAGTAAATACAGATTCTTGTAAGTTTAGTGATTCATTAGGAAAAAATCTTCCTTTTGAACGGAGGTAGGGAAGTGAGCTAGGGTAGCTGGCAGTCCTCAATGTCATGCTTTCTGGTGTGAAATCTTAGAAGAAAAATCTTGAGCCTTATATTAGGAGATTACATTAAAACTCCTTGTTTCATCTGTCAAAAAGCTTAGTCTATATGGAAATATTTCTGCTATGTAGAATACATAAGCATCATTCAGGGACATTTTGTCATCAGTTGCATTTGATTTAGAAGTGGATAGATCTTCTTAACTTTTGTTATAAAAGTATACTAGGAAATGTTGAAATAATCCATGATAGTGTTTAAAAACAGATCCGGAGCTTTTGAAAGCTGTAGCTCTGTTGATACAGAATTTGTATGCATCAGCAAATGTAGTAAGGCCCTAGCAAAGCCAGCTGGTGTGCCTTTGGGTTAGGTGTGATTGCAAATATTATCTGGCATGTATGAGAAGAAGTTCATACCTTTTTTGCACTTTGAACTCTGCGTATCAGAGTGGATGTATCTTTAAAAGAGAACGTGGGAGCAGGCAAATGGTTTGTCAAGTGGTAATTTTCTGTTGCTTGCAAATGTTTAATTACTCAGCCATAAAGCATCATAATGTAATAAGTGGCATATGTGCAACCATTTTCAATTAGCTTGGTTCTATGGTGAAAAATAAAAAGAATGTTGTTTACAGGATCCTTTCAGAGTCCTATCTGTTAAGCTGGTTGAGTAAATATACTCTCTTATTGTCACATTGGTATAATTGGTATTCTACAGTGGCTATGAGCTAGACGATACTCCACCCTGACTGTTACCTCTGGTTGAATTTGCAAGGCTGACAACATACAGCTGAGTTTGCCTTCACACTGGGAGTATTTATTCACACATAACCTGTAGTATTAACTGTAGTTTCTGTAAAAATAGTTCTTGAGGGTAGAACCATCCTTCAGTACATGGTGCAAATGTGTGTTTTTAGCTATCTTTTATCTCCGTTAAAAACGTTTTCCTGATAAGATTGTTCCTGGTTATTGTTTTTTCTCACACTGTTTTCCAAATTTTTAGCTTGGAAGCCTCTTCTCATATTACTGTTCAGCTGAAGTCACTCAGGCAATATGGGATGGATATCTACAACAAGCTGATCCATTCTTTATTTATTTCTTAATGTTAATCATCCTTGTCAATGCAAAGTAAGTGTATAGTTAATTCCTTTAGGCATTCCTTCCTGACACAGTTTTAATCCACTTCTGTTTTGTTTTGGTTTTACTGACTTGATCTATGCCTGTGACTTTACTGTTTTCAGAGACGTTATCTTAGCACAAGAATCAGATAAAGAAGAAATGATAAGTAAGTACTTCTCTTATATAGCTGCTAGTGAAATATTACTATATAGTATAATCCCCATTGATTATTATTTTTAATTACTCCATAACTGAATTATTTAATTATTTACCATGTAGTTTTTCTCATTAATGAATCCACCCACCCTCTAATTCCTTTCTAACTATTCTTTTGCTGCATCACATTTGCCTTGTCCATGACATTCGTTTTTTGAGTTTCCTTTTTAGCACTCTGGCACCTAGTTTTACACTTCATTTTGGAGTACTTGAAGCAATCACCATATTTCCAAGCCCAAAGCAGGAGCTTTCAAATCCTTCTTTAAATGTACTGCACTTTGCATTTCCCAGATTGTTATCTTTGTATGCACTTGATTTGGGCCTAATTAATTGTATTTGGCTTCTCTACTGTTTTTGTAGAAATTACAATAAATTTTTTGTGACCTTATTTCACCTGCCTTTGGTTTGCTTTTTTTTTTACATGGCATAGTACAATATAATTAATCATCTCCAAGTAGGAGGGTGCTTTGAATTTTGTGTCCTTGCCATATACTGTAGAACTACACCCTTGTACCATCCTGTACGTATAAGAGTGCTACTGATAAGGATGCTGTTTTGGAGGATTTTCTTGGTCAGCCCTCTAGAAAAGGCAGCTGACTTAGTTTTACCTTTCAGTCGTAATATTATACGGAAGTAAGAGTGTGGTAAAAACTAGTTTGTGTAGAAGGTTTGGACTTGTAGCAGTTAGCATGGGTTTCCTGTGGCTGAGTAGTATTTCCTGTCTCTTTCTATCTGGAGAATGAATCGATGCACATTTAATCAATAAAATCAGTTGTGTTATGCCTTACTAAAAATAAGTTATTTTATGAAGTAAGAAAATGTATGTTGCTGCTTTTCTGTGTCTGAAATAATGGTGCATTTATGTTCTTTGTGTATCTCAGAATTCTTAGAAACTTCACCAGCCAATCTCGATTTAGAGGATATAGAAGATCTCTTCTCTTTGGCACAATATTACTGTAGCAAAACTCCAGCTTCTTTCAGGAAGGTAATAACAAAGTTGTTTTGAAATTATTTTTGGTGACTGCATAAGCTTCTACTGACAGTAACTTTGAGTATTTCATTGTTGTTTTTTTTTTATAAAACAATTTCTTTATGTTGTTAACTCTGGTGGTATTTACTGTTAGAATCTTTGAAAGATAAGAAGGTTAAGTGGAACATATTAGAGAAACTTCCCTGCAGTGTTCTCACTTCATGACTGATGACCTTCTTTTGCAAACCAGGTTCTTGTAAGAACTGTTGAAGCAAAAATGTGACCCTGACACAACTGCTTCGCAGCAGAGTGAACAGTAGTCCTAGCTCTGCTTGCAACAGCAAACAGGAAAAAGTTGCTTACCAGAGATAAAGCTGTCCTCACCTGCACTGTTCTTGCAGTTATTCCTTACTCAGGATATCTGACTACAGTGAATTAATTAAGTAGTTGATAGTTGTTGCCTTTGTCTTGATGTACTTTCTCTGATATATGTAGACCAGTATGTGAGGGGTTGGGGGGGGGAGGGAACTGATGACAAAACAAAACAAAAGGTATTTAATCATATTGACATGGTCAGAATGGTGAACAAGCATGTTTGTAATGGAAGTTCAGGCCTTGTCATGTTTTTCAGAATTTCAGTAGACCAGAAATTCGATGACTGTGTGGACAAGATAGGCATGTATTGTGCTTAATGTTTGTGACCTGATGGATGTAGTTTTACTTTAAGCCTTCACATCTGAAGACAATGGCTTTGGTTAACTTTCTGGTTTTTTCTCTTGCTTTATTAGGACAACCACAGTCTCTTTGGCAGCAGCTTGCTAGGCCTCAAGGATGATGACACAGACCTGAGCCAGGCCCTCTGTCTAGCAGTTTCTGTGTCTGAGATTCTTCAAGCAAATCAGCAACAAGGAGTCAGTATATTGAATTAGTCCCTTTTCCCTCCCAATTTTACAGAAAAGGAAAAGAAACCCTTACTACTTTTTGTATCACAAATATTTTTAAGTGCTAACAATGCAGATGAATATTTGCTATTTCAGGAAGAATTATTCTTGTCTTGAAATTGTCTGCCTTGTAAATGATCTGCTGACTGCAATGCATTTGTGCTGTAGCAACCAGAGCTGCAGCACAGGGGAACTTAATGCACCTGATTTGAATCTGAGGAGTGGGAGCTGAAAGTAATATCTCACTCATTTGAATTGCTTTCCAAATGTAGCTATTGTAAAGTTTAAAACCCACTACTTGGTGCATTTGAGAAGAATGCCATTATGAAATACCTGTCTTTTGTCAGTGAAAGGTTCAAACAAACAAAAAGATTTATTCAAGCTATTTTTGTAGTAGATAATTGTAGTAGTGTGGATAGCTAGATTAGTGTTTCTTCATGACTGCTGACTTCTTGTAGCAGTTTCCAGCCCCCAGTTTCATCATGCATACTAATTTCCCCCCCCCTTGTCCAAGTAAAGTTAAGCACCTGTTTACACTCTGTTGGAGTCAGTGGGGTATAAAGCTGTATGTGCTGTGCTGAGGAGTAATGCGCTGTTGGATTGGGACTTCAGAGTTGTCCCTTCTCATGTCCCGGTGATGGGTGCCCCCATATCCACTATATTTCTTCTCGGTAGAGGTGAAATAATGACACGGTGTGCATTGCACTTGGGTGGTCCTTTCTGCTGTGCAAGCTGATGTATCAATGGGAAATCACTATCAGAATACTGTTGGTGGTCTGCTAACTGTAGAAGTTCAGATTAATCACTTGAAATAAGATTCTTTCCAATAGCTGCTAGTACCTTTGGAGGGTTTCCTGTAGTATTGAATTTGGTATTAAAATATAATTGAATAATATCTCATCAGTAATTACACAATTTAGAAATTTTGTAACAAGCAAAATCTTTCTTTTTCAGGAAGGAGTAAGGTTCTTTGTAGTGGATTGTCGTCCTGCAGAGCAATACAATGCTGGGCATTTATCAACAGCATTTCATTTAGACTCAGATTTGGTTTGTATCCTTTTTGTTTCTTTACTGATTTTTTAAAATCCTGATTTAAATAGGAGAGGGAAACGTCTGTCTTGATAAAAATTATCCTTAGTTTTGTCTGTGGACTGCAGTGCTTGGCTATGTGATGGTTTCAAAAGTTAGCTTCTCTAAAGAAGATTGGTGGAACCATCATGTTACTGGGAAGTTTAGTTCTTAAGGACATTGGAATTTGATTGTAGACTGCCTGTTCTATGGTTATAACTGGAAATCCATACAGGCTAAAGACTAGACATTACTTGGAGAAGAAATCACTTTTTAGAGTCATAATTTCCAACTGAAGGTGTAATTTATTTTTAACAACCAGTAGCCCTTTTTACCTTTTTTTTTGTTTTTTTCTTGTTTATCCCTCTCAGCCAGTCTTACTGCAGCCTGCTTGTAAGGATTTGGTTGCTCCTTTAAAATTCTTGCAGTACAGTATGAGAGAGGAAGTGCATTAATTATGTGACTGATACACACTGTGGACTAATTACTTCATTAAAGATGTTGCTTAGTTTCCACTTGATTATGAATTTCTAACTGAATATTCAGTCATGTTTTTCTTTGTCCTTTTTTTCCCCAAATCACTTATGGTTCAGCAGGTTTGCAGTGTGTTCTTGGCTTCTAGATTAACCCTCTACTATTTCACTTCAAGCAGTCTATGGATGCTGCATGGAATGATTTCTATGTATATAAGCCATAAAAGGCGCTTTTACCTTTTTTCATTAAGAGGCTCAGTCCTGCATCTATTTTCTTTACCCCTCTAATTCAGATGGTGTTTGATTCAGTATTCTTTGCACAAGTATAGTTAGGCAGTGTTTTGAGTTTTAACCTAGATCAAAAAATATTTAGGAAAAAACCTTCCCCATGGCATGTGGGTGTTCTGCCAGCCTTATTTGAATATCATAATCACTACAGTAGAAATAAACATAAATTATCAATTAGTTTAAAAACCTAATAATATGTGAAAAATAAGTCCATGAAAACAGTTTTTAAAGTGGATGTGATTAGTTCACATGTATTTAAATTACATATTGGAATTAACTTCTGCAGTGTGTGTCAGCTGGTATGTGTTACAGACTTCACCAGACTGGGGGTACCACTAGGCTGCTTTATTAACAGCTCAGAGCTGGGCCAGCACCTCAGGGAGTGGCAGCAGCTCACAAAACCTACCTTCTATATATATATGGTTCTTCATAACATGCAATACAATACAGTTTTTGGATATTTTCCAGGAACTTACAGTTCTGAATTCATCATCAGTTTCCAAAGTCCACTGTATCCCACAGTTTTGGCTATATCTTACTGTTCTGTTCCAATTCCTCTTCAGACACCACTGCTCACTGATGCAGTCTTTGGTCATCATGGTTACTTATCTCCTGAACAATCTTCATCATAATTCACTTTTAGACTTCTGAAAAAAGACTCAAAATGTTCTATTTAACATATACTTAATCTGTGTCTAGCTTTTCATGACTGAGCCTTTCTAAATTGCTTCAACTGTCAGTGTTGTTCCTAGAGCACCTGTGCTCTATTAATTAAAGCTATAAAAAAAAAATCTATTGATTATTCCTGCTATTAATAATATCATCAGAGAAAACAGTTTTCTAAAGCTTGTTCCTTTTACAGTCTGGTGAAGATCCTTCATGAACCATTAATGTCACCATGTTCATCTCTGGTTTTAGAAGTTTAATGCCAGAAAAACATTGTAGGGAATAATCTTTGTGACAAAAAGCCATTAATAGAACTACTTTGCATTTAATATGCTTGTATGTGCAAAGTACACACAATTTACTTTAAGAGGAGGCAATGGGAAAGAGCACTTTGGAATCCATCTCATTTATCCAGTCCTACGTGCTAAATCTCACTACTTCCTTCTCTTTGTAATAAAGCACCAGCATTTGGCTCTAGGAAAACCCCAGTTAAAATTTAGGTTGACATACTGATGGTTAGCTTGTGTGCTGGTTACTTTGTACTTCATCTTTTAATGCAGTATAAAGGCTAGATAATGAGAAGTTCTCCCCCCAGAATTCAGTTACAAATCAACTTTTCCTTATTAATTTAAAAGTGCCTTCCCCACAAGAACAGATCAAAATTTCAGCTGTATTTAGGAAGCATTTGTTTCTACATCTGTTTCATAAAGCAGCTTATTGTTTTTGCGTGCATAATAGGCCTTCAGGAGACCACAAACTTAACTTTTGGACCCCAGGTATCTCCTAGATGGTAATTTTTTTCCAAATCTTGGTAAGTAAATGACAAAAAGCTTAGTGGGCAGACAAGAGGACCTTACTGGCACCTAGAAATTCTAGATATTTTAAAGGGCTTCAGAACTGCAAAGTTTGAATGTGTTGTGCTTAAGCATGTGGAAATATGGAAATTGGTTCCTCTGCAATATTGCCAACATAATCCAACGTTAAAGCTGCAAAAGATTTTTTCCACCATTATTAAATGTCTGCAGAAATAAACTAACAAATATTAGCTGCATTTCTTTCATGGGAAGAGCAAGGTGGAGTGAGGAAGAAAAGGCCCATTGTCAGCGTTTATGTAACCTGAGGTGTGGGTCAGGTTGTCTTTTTTGGGTGTGTTGTACAGTGCTGATGTTGCCTTGTTTGTGCTCAAATTATAAACATATTCAAAGTTTGTGTCTCTTCCCAAGTTGTGTTAAGGTATGCTGGTGTCGAACAGCACTCTTTGTTCATTCCACAGATGCTTCAAAACCCCTCAGAATTTGCACAGTCTGTAAAATCCCTATTAGAAGCACAAAAACAATCTATTGAGTCTGGCTCCATAGCTGGTGGGGAACATCTGTGCTTCATGGGAAGTGGCAGGGAAGAAGAAGATATGTATATGAACATGGTGCTAGCACACTTCTTACAGGTACAACTAAACTTCTGTTGATTGTACTAGCTGAAATTGAGTATTTATGCATATCGTCGATACTAAATGGCAGAATATTTTCCCCTTAAAACCTTAACTGTTTCTTACATTACTCAAGCTTACAGTTTTTATAAAATTAACCCATGTTCCATTACCATGCTTGCAAAACTCATTCCACAGACTTTTGCTTCCACCCAAAATGTCTTTTTTCTGTTGCAGAAAAATAAGGAATATGTAAGCATTGCCAAGGGAGGATTTATGGGTAAGCTTATTATAATGAGCTTTGCCTTGAGAAAACTTGATATCTTAACACTGTTGATATTTTTATTAGGCTTTGGCTAGAAATCAGCTAAATGAATAGCAAATAGGTCTCATTTGTCAAGTTTTTATTTTCTGTAAGTCCAACACTGTGTACTTGCATGTTTGTGGTTAACTGTTACAGCTTGCCCACGTTCCTGAATGGTGAAAAATTAATACAGGAAGTGGGGAAATTCCCTCTTAACATCCATCATTCTTGATGTTCAGCCTCTAGATTGCAGATCCCTTACAAGATGCTATTTCATAATTACGATTAATTGTTGCTGTGTTTTCTTAAATCATCAGTTTATGATTCTGCAATTTATGTTGCTGGAATCAATCAGGCTCTACAAAAGTGGAGAGATCTGTGCTACAGTAGGAGTATGGAGGCATTACTAGTCAATACGTGAAGTGTCTTAACAGCTGTATTTACAATTTAAAGCAGTGATTTATTTTTAGTCGTTGGTGTATTTTAACTGTTTCCTTTACTAAAATAAAGATTATCCTAATGCTTTTGTACTACTGAAAGAAAAAAACAGGGATGATTATAGCAGTATCTGAATTTATCTGTTTTATTAAATCATGTGGAGTAAAAAATTGTTACCAATTAGTCTTGGATATACAGTATTTTCATCACAGACTAATTCCAGTGTAGTTCTGAATGTTTTTTAATGGCCTTTTCACAGCCCTCCAGCAGCACTTAGCAGATATCAATGTGGAAGGGCCAGAAAATGGATATGGCCACTGGATTGCTAGTACCTCAGGCTCAAGAAGTAGCATAAACTCCTCTGTTGATGTAAGTGAATTTTAAGCTCAAGTGGTGTAGTGATATGGGATCCCCAGGTGTAGTGAATTTTTCCTTCATATTCCTCGTTCTGTTCTGTAAAATGCATTACTGCAGGGTGTGATTGTTTTCAGTTGTGTGTTTAATTACAAACTGTATTCACTGTCCAGTTGGAGGCAACCTAAACATTTTTATCCTCTTGAAAGGAAGAGCTTGTAGAGAAGAACTTGCTATAGTCCTTCTCCAGCAGAATATATGTAATGAACAATTATTTTCCTGGTGGCTCTTCACTCTGGGAATAAATTACTATAAAACTGGCATATAGTTTCATGGGAAAGCTCAAACTTGTCTCTTTCTACATAAGTTTTCATAGAATTTGGCTTTTAATTTGGATACAATCTACCATTAATAGAATTATTTTCTCTCTAGGTTTTCATAGAGTGGTCAGTAATAAGGTTTGTTAAGCTCGCTTTATTGGATCATCTTTTATCTCAGGCACATATCGTTGCTGTCATTTGATAGAACTTTAAAGGAATACTTAATGCTGTAATTAATGTTCTGCTGAGTACCAATAAGTAGGTTACTATTTTGTAGTCTGTTTCCTTTCTTAAGAAACAAGAGATGAAGTAACATTATTTTTATGATTAATCCTGAGAGGAGTTACTTTTACAGGGTGATTCTCCTAATGGTTCAAGTGATGGAAAAGGAGTGAAGTCCCTGATGAACAAAATGACGGTTGCTTTGAAGACTAAATCTGTGAACGTGAAAGAAAAAGTTATTAGTTTTATTGAAAATACATCTACTCCGGTGGACAGGTGTGTCTCTTATATCTCACTGTCAATTAGCAGTGACAAATAACTTCCCATTGCAGGTGCCTTTTTGTAAATGTGAAGACTGTGCTAATTAGGAAAAAAGTTATCTTCCCGTTTCAGCTTTTTTAATTTTGTATCCCTACCCTCCTCACAATTTTATCATGACACAGTTAGCTTCGCAGGCTGCTTTAGTAGTGCAAGGCCAGTGTGAGCAGCCTTTCTCCCGAATGGATCTAGAATTTGTCACTGCATGTTTAGTTTGACTTCTTATAATGTGTTGCTTCTGTATTTGCTCTAAAAGTCAAGAATTATTTCACTTTTATTTCAGTTCCTCCCCATCCTGACTGTAATAGAGTAAGTGAATGACATAAGGATTCTGGATGAGGTTTTTTTGTTTGGTTGGGTTTGTTCTGTTTTGGTTTTTTTACTGCCCCATCTTGTCAGGTTGAGGCTAACTTTTTTGAAGATCTTGATTTCTTTTTTAAATTTTTATTTATTTATTTATTTTTCAAGTCCTGATGTAAAGCTGCTTTTTAAACCCAGAATCCACTCCTGTCCCTTTTTTGTATCTTAAAGTAGAGCTGAGAATGAGAATGTGCAAACATGTTAAGACACTTCCAGAGTTGGAAGTCATCATTCCAAATACTTACCTTAACCAGATAAAAGAATAACAGCTTTTATCTGTCGAAGCTTTAATTGAATAGTTGGTTTTAGAGTTCTTGAAAATACAGCCTTTGGTATTGTATGCTGCTAAGATAGTGGCATTTAGGAATTTTACAGGGCTAGTGTGTGTTTGATGTTAGGATTTATAATACATGCCAAATGAACAGTGGTTTTTAGTATTCTTGTACCTAATCAAAAGGTACAGATTATCATTTCTTTTTGTGTTGGAAAATGGGTGGTTGTTATTTCACAATTAGAGGCAAAAAATTCTTAAATAGCACTTAATAGTAGCTTTTGCTGTGGGAAGAATTCAAGTCAGGCTTGTATGTAAGCCATACATAGCATGAAAAATGCATCTTTTAATAGCAATTTTATAAATATTTCTCTACCTCATGGCTGTCATGAAGCATTGCTTTTATTTATAAGCATCCTCCTTGAAGAAGATACATTGCCAATATAGAGCATTTCAGTTATCTATATTTTTCCTTTAAACTTTTTTTTTAATTCTCTTGTTCTGTCCTCTGCCCCAATGTACTATAGAATATCTTTCAATATTCCCTGGCCAGACAGAGCAAGCCTGGAGCGGTAAGCTTGATCATTAAGCAGTCTGACTAAAACCACCTTTGTCGTATTTAGCATGGCATCGCAATACTTGTAAGCATTGGTTACACTGACAAAATTGCTCACATTTTTATATTGATTTCGTTTTCTTGAATGTATGAAAGCTATTGGTTTTTACAAGTACTGGTCAGGGGACTAGAGGAAGAAAAAGAATGTATTGGCAGTGCTTTCTTCTATTAGTTTCTGTTTTGTTATTTCTGTTGTCTCTCTTACTATTGCTTTCTATGGAATTTTTGTTTTACTTATTATTTCCTACATGCATATTATCAGTGACTTGTGCAAGTGAAAGACACCAGGAGTAATTACTGAACAAATTATGGCTTAAGGTTTTAATAAGAGACACTACAACTATGAAAAGGACTTGTTACAAACTGTTCATAAAGTATCATCAGAGCTTAGATAGCACACAGAATCCATATGGAAATTCTGTCTGGAAATCTGGAATTTCTATGCTTCTCATCACACGGTGATAGAACATGCTGATAGAAACAGAGGTGCTCATTTCTGGGAAAAACAAAATGCTGAGTTAATAAGCAGATATGCCTTACAACTCTCCTCATCTTGTTTACAAAATTACTGTTTCACACAAATGTGGAATCCCCTCACATTTGTCTCGGATTTATTGCCTTATAATTATTTCGAAATAGAAATTGTGAATTAAGGTTATTTAAATTACTTGTATACAATAAACAAAGAACAGCTCATGTTGAATCCCTTTGGAACTTTGGTTGTACTTTAGGAACTCTATAGCTTTTGACCCTTATAGATTGAAAAACATGAATATTGGCATTAGAAGAATTAGTGAAGATTTAAAACGCTATTTGTGTTTTCAGGGATTTTGGACCAATTCATTTTTCAAGTAGTTTGCATATAATTTGAGATACGATTTACTCATAAGCATTACCAAATGATGTTGTGTGAGCAAAACCAATAGCAATGATAAACAATGTTCTTTTTTTAAAAAACAAAAAAGTGGGAATATCCTAATAGCACATACTATATTTTGTTAATTTAGAAATCCTAAAGATCATGGGGATTTCTCCCTGTGTTTTGTTGATCAATTTTTAGAATATTTTAAAATGTTACAATTCCAACTTGAAACAGTTGGTGACTGTGTTTGATAACTGAAAGACTCTTGAATCTATATTTGTAACCAAGGAGTTTTGATATATTGAGATTATACCTGGGTTATTTAACTTGCTCCTTTCACTCATACTGCTTATCCTCTGCCACTGAAAAGATGAAATAATAAATTTGCTCACACAAAAGACCACTAAACTATCATCTTAAAATTGCAGCTATTAAAAAGCTGGAATGGCATTCCTTTCCCATCCATTCAATTAGATCCACTTTGTGTTATCACCAATATATTTCACTTTGCAGGTTTGCCACTAAAGGAAATTGCATTCCATTTGTAACAGAGTAATGATGGCCTTCCAGGCAAACAGGTTAAAGGAAATCCATTTCTAATTTAAGATGTTACCAGGATTTTATAAAGCAGCTTTTTACTTTCTTGCCTTGACTAACTTTGATCTATAAACACCAATGAGATCTCCTCTTAAGTCCTCTCTGTGTAATTCAATTTGACACTATTTAAATGTGCTTCTTCTTACTCAATTGGTTATGTATTACTAAAGCATATTTACAAAAGCCTCCATATAGAAGCACTGTCCTCTTGAATTGTCAGTGTTATTGATGCTTATTGTCCTAAACACTAATGAGCATGTTTTTGTACGTTTATTTTTTGTTTCATTGTAGAATGCATTTCTGTTTTTTTTCCTATTAAAACATTTCCTTGTTTGTCTACATCGCTAAATTTTAGCTGTATAAAATGTAGGTTTCTTTTTTAACTTTCAAATATGCTTTCAGGTATACATAAGTACTATCATTCATTTATATATTACTAAAGAATATGCTTCTCCAACTTAATTCTACAGCAGTATGTAAACTGGAGTTTATAAATATACTTCAAACAGGAACCAGGTCTTTATCATTTATAGGAAATATGAATACACATTATAGGGAGGGGGAGGTTATAGAACTTGAAATGGGGGAAGGGGACCAATGTGGTTTTGGTTTTTTTAAACCACTACATGTTGTCAGTTCTAAAAGCTAAAATCATGGGTTGCTTTTTTTTTTCTTGGGTTTTTTTTTTGGCAGTTACCGGTTTTATGGCTTTCTGAACCTTTAGATTTTCTCATTTTTTCAGGTATTCTCAGCAGCTGAGGGCCAGAACTTTTAACATGACAGCTGTGATGATGTAATCACAGCATTCCGAGCTGGAGCTTTGAAACATCTTAGGATTTGCAACTGTTACTGTCAAACATTAAAACTCAGTTGTGCATGTTTGTGTTATTTAATATCATCTGTACAAATAGATTTAAGTGGGATTTTTTTTTTTAGGTCAGTATCTGTGCAGAAATCCCAGTGATGCTGCGATTTTAGTAGTAGTAATTGTTTGACCAAAGATTTTAGGATTTGTCTGATGCTGGAGAAGGTAACAGACAGGAAGTCAGAGTTCACAATACAGTGGATGGTTTATAATAACACCACTTTGAAGTGCTTAAGGTATTTTGTTATCCTTAAAATGCACTTCCAGACATGTTAGTTAATAGCCTTCATTTTTTCCTCCACCCCAATCCTTGTAAAGCTGCTCTGACTGTCCAGAAGTATTTCAGTTTCATGCTAGAAACTTCAGAGCATGTTGTCAGTTTTCAGGGGTCTAATGTATTTTGTCATTTGAGAAGATGACCAGAAGTTCTTTTTAAAACAAAAAAGTGTTTCTTTTCACTTTGCTACAACAGTCAGCATTGCCAAGTTACTGAAACATGTGCTTTCACTAACCAAACTGCTTGATGGGTCAGTCACAGCTTCCTTTCAGGCAGCTTCATGAAATTCTCTCATCCTTCTCAGCTGCACAGTTGTGTTTACATTTTGCTAATAGGTTATTGTAGGAGTCATGCCACCAGTTTGAAAGTTACTTTTCTTCTCCCGTCCCATGTTCTCTCCTGCCCTTTTCATTGCCAACAGACATGTCAGCAGCAGTGACAGAGTAGGAAAACCCTACCGTGGTGTGAAACCAGTGTTCAGCATTGGAGATGAAGAAGAATACGATACTGGTACAGTAGAATAATTTCCTCTTACCTAGATTAATGTATTTAGGGAAGGTTACTAAGTTTGGCTAAACCACAGAAGTGTATTTTACATCTTTGTCTTACAAACACATGTTTTTCTGTTATCATCAGTTGTGTTTGTTATGGTGGTTCCTAGGACCAACCAAGAAAGAAACACCCTCTTCAAATTCAAATACATAGTAGCAGACTAAATAAAAAAGGTTTTGTAATAGGCATCAAATGGCCAACAGCAAGAAAGGGAAATAGATGGGTTTATTGGATTGTTCCTGTTCACTTGTCATTTCTATAGGAAAGATCTGTTTTTCTACACTGGTCTTGTAGGTGTAAACCTGCAATTGCAGCAATAAGCAAAACACAAAAGACCTAGTTTGGCTGACAGATCTTGGGTTGAATCTCTACTATTGGCACTTCATAAAACAATCTGAATTTCTGAAAATGCAGTTGGACCTAGACTTAAGATGGCTAATATGTGCATACCTCTCCAGTCTTTTGAACTTTTTAGCACTGAATTATTAATAATTGATTAATCTCTTGTTATGCATGCAGAATGCTGTGGGAAAAAATGTGCCATTTTTATTTAATTCTTTTATCTAGTTGAAAAGTTGCAAAACTGGAAAGGTTTTCACAAAGGTTTATTTTTTAAACCAGTGCTAACATTAGAATGGTGCAGACCTACAGCTGTCCTGGTTTTGTTCTGGTAGTGTTAGCTCACTCCCAACCATCATCATCTCAAGTTCCGTGGCCAGAAGGCATACTCTGCTTCCATGTGAGAAGCAAATAACTAGAGTAAGAATATTTGGCCTAGGGAAGAAGTAATTTAGGAAGATTAATGAAGGAGATTCACAGGATCTGGAGTTGCTTAAATAAGATAGACGACAAGCAGTTGGTCATTGTTTGTCAACTATAAGAACTGTGAAGGAGCAAAATGAAACTATCAGGCAGAAGCTTTAACTAGATACTTCTCCAAATGCCATGTAATTAAGTTCAGTCAGTGCTCTGAGCATCCAGAATAGTGTTTGACAGAGTCTGTGTGGTTTCAGAAAACCAAGTGGTGAAAGATGAATTGTCTAGAACATATTTTCAGTAATGGTTGTTTGCTACTTTCTATTTACATTTGCTTCTACAAACACTATTAGGCTTAGTAAATAAGCAGAATAAGTGCAGTTATTTGAATAAACAAAGCCAACACATATGAAGTGAAATACATGTTATTTGGTACAGAAGAATGCAAAAAGTGAACCTGTTTCTGTATAACACAAACAGGTTTTTTGTAGTAATTGCAGTCGGCTGTAGTAATTGCAACCTGCTCTAGATGGCTGTGCTTGAGTAGGAGAGTTGGACCAGATGACCTCCAGAGGTCCCTTCCATCCTCAGTCCTTCTGTGAAACGAGAATGGGTTGTGTTCCATTCCTTTTAATTTCATAATGTATTTTTTCAGTGAACACCTTTTCAAAACTATGGCTGTAATTCTGAATTACTTTGAAATAAATAGTTAAAGTGTAGAAAACTGGCTTTGAAAAAGGCACTTTAAAGATGTGTCCTTTGAAGTTATTTCTGGGAATAATTTCTCTGAATTTAATGTAGTTCATTGTTTCAGGTAACTGGATTGCTTAAATTCTTCTAATGTAGCACCACCATTACTATGTAAATATAATCACCATATTTAGACATAAAAACCAGTGGGTTGCAACTAAGGGATAACATTTGCAGGAGTTTTGGGTGTTTCACAGAAGTCTGTGCTGAAAATTTGGGGTTTGAGGATGTTCTTAAATGTCCTTAGAAAAGGAGGTGAACCCAAAGACAACAAATTTTTACTAACTACCAAGGTTATTCAAGGCAGTAAGGACAGACTGAAGGAGTCTTTTGCTAGTCTGAGTGTCTGGGCAATAAAATGACACATGAAATTCAGTATGAATTAATGAGACATGAGAAAGTTATAAAGAAAAAAAACAGTTCTAGTTTCAGATACAAGGTGTTAGGCTGATTTGGCTGTGTTACGGAGCCGTAAATTTATAAGAAGTAAGAGCTCATTAGCAGTCAGGAAAACAAATGCTAGGCATTATAAGGAAATGAACAGAATAAAACAGACATCTCTGTATATAAACCTGTGGTTCACCCACACATTGAATATTGTATGTCTTGCTCCTCCACATCAGAAACAGTGTGTCTGAACAGGAGAAGGTTCAGAGAGGGATAAGAAGGGTGAGGGAAGATGTGAAACAGCTTTTGAAGGGAAGAAGAGTCGCTCATAGAAATAATGTCTGGCCTGGAAAAGGATCAACAGATGCTTACTACTATTTGTCCAAGAAACTAGAAACCACAAGAGGAGGCTTTCCTGGAATGCAGTTGACATGTTTTTGGTACTCCTTGCTGACAGATACTGGTGTTGTAGATGCAAAAAGTTTTAAGGAAAGTCTGGACAAGTCCATGTGACAGAAATCGATTACTGAATGGACAAATCAGACCAGCCAGAAAAATCCCATGAGCTGAAAAATAGTTGTCTGCTGAGAGAGAATTAAAAGAGAAATACCAGATACACATGCCTTGTTCTTTCTTCCCTCTGAACAATTGTTTATGATGGACCTTGGTTGAACCAGTGTAGCCACTATGGGTTTAAGTGAGTTAAAGTTGTTTCATGTTGTGTGAAAATCTTACCTTTTTTTTTTATTATTTTTTTAACACCTCCCTTCAAAATAGATGAAATTGATAGCTCCTCAATGTCAGATGATGATCGAAAAGAGGTCGTCAACATCCAAACATGGATAAATAAACCTGATGTGAAGTATAACTTCCCCTGTAATGAAGTAAAAGAAAATGGACATATGTTTCCCAGGTACTGGAATTAGTCCTAAACTTAATGAAAATGTCTCTTTTGATAGATATTAAAAAAAAAAAAAACAAAAACCAACAAGGGGCAATTAAGTTATTCCTGATATTAAACTAGGAAATGAAGATGTAAAACAACCAAGAGCAAAATGTTCTGCTACATTTGCATTCTTGTATTTGCAGTGTTATAGAATGGTAACTATGTACATAATCTAGTGTGACGTTTTGCTTTGCAAAACAAGATAATAAGAAAAATATTCTTGGTTTATGTAGGCGTATTTTTCAAGAGCAGGTAGACCCAAGTACCTGTGGCTGTTTTTTCCTGTGTACTTGTCTTTGTGCCCTGTACTACGCATCGATCTTGCCCATGAGATGTAGGGAGCTTGTTAATTGTACAAGAGCAGAACGTGTTGCTTTCTGTACTTTGACTTCCCCAAAGAGTACAAATCCTGTTGAATCTGGATGACAGAAAATTATAATGGGTTTTCTCTTGTATCAGGGTCTGTTCTTGACTTTTATTATTACTTTTATTTTCCCATTTATTTTATGTGGTGTATGATTAGTTATCTGTCATAGTATGATTTCTCAAACTAAGTTGGAACTCAACTAGTTTGTTCCCACTACTAGTTAAACGTGCGTTCCTGCCATGAAGGCAAAAGTGAGTCTTGAACTGATCTGGCAGGTCAGCATCTCCACGAGTGCTCGTACAGCGACTGACAATCAGGGAGCACCAGCACATCCTGCTAACTTAGGTCTGATGCTCCACATGTAGACTTGCTGCTCTATAGATGGAGGGATGGGGTTAGGGTATGATGGAAGAATGAAACAGAGAGGCTGGAGGCATCTTCCCTGCTCTGTGCGTGGCCTGACACGTTACTGCTTGTAGTGATCTTTGCTGACAGCACTCACGGCTCTTGTTCTGAGGTGAGGGTGTTAACTGCTTGCTCTGGTTTTGTATGCTGCTCTGGATGCCATGGTTGTTTTCAGAAATGGCTATGGTGCAGTACTGAAGGAAAATCTTAAGCATTTTGTAGACCATTCTAAATTACAGTTTTTAGAAGTATTAAAACTGTTTCTTAGATTTGGGAATGTTTTATCTAGCGCTCTCACTGTAGCTTATTTGTAGAATTTAACTTTCTAAATAGCCAATATTTGTTCATTAGCAAATTCAATTTGTATTTTTCTTTTCCTTCAAGTCATCTCCTAGTAACAGCAACTCACATGTACTGTTTGAGAGAGATTCCATCACGAAAGGGACTGGCTTACATACAGTCTCGACAGGCACTCAACTCTGTAGTGAAAATCACATCCAAGAAGAAACACCCAGAACTGATCACCTTTAAATATGGAAATAGCAATACTTCAGGCATAGAAATTTTGGCGGTTGAAAGGTAAGCCATCTCAGTAGCAGAGATGTAAGTAGTAATGATATATGGAATGATGCCAACTGGAAATCAGGGGCATGCAGAAGTCAGTTCAAAAGTAATAGTTGCATTTAGGAATAGATAATTGAGATGTAAACTAGAAAAAAATATTTGCCAGCATAATGAGGAGAGTTTGCAAGACCCAGCAGAAGTACTCCATGGTCTGCAATGACAGTTGTTGGGGATGGGACGTGTGCAAGTGTTTTCTTTTTGTAATGTGTCTTCAATGAAAATGAAGTGGACAGCCATCTGCAGCCTGAAGCATGGATTTGTGAAGAGTGGGATTTAAGAGAGTGGTCTTACTTCTGTGATATCTTTTTTTTGAGACATCTGACTCTTCTGAAGCATCATACAAGGAGTCTAGAATTTGAACCTCAAAACTGAACGCCTGAAACCTGCTTCCTGAAAGTTGGATATTGCCGTGCTCAGCACTTGCATGCTAAGACTGGGGGAAGGCAGAGGGATGGTGGGATTGGGCTTTCTTCCACTGCTGTAGCCTGTTGTTCTTAGTACTGTTTTAACAGAGTTGCTGACATCAGTTGGAGAGTTTCTTGTCTTCATCAGGGAGAATTGTTTTCACAGGAAGTGGGGGATTAATTTCCTAGCTAACTAGGGAAGTTGTTCTATGCCTATTGCTGCTTAGAATGAAGTTAGCATGGTAGTAGGTCAGACAAAGGTAAATTAAAAATGTTGCAGACAACTTTGCTGCTTGTTGACCGGATTAAATCCAGAAGAGAAAGGATTGCAAATAAATGATCTAGAGCTATCTATAGGAATAAAAAAAAAAAAAAGAGGGCGGCCATGATTCAGTCATACAGTGCTACATGTAGAGATCTTTAACTGCTTGATCTATACCATTGTCAATTAATTTAAAACTTTTCCTTTCCAGGATGGCCTGTGAAGTTCAACAGTTCTAAGTTCACAGATGGAAAGCATTTCATAGTATAAAAAGGAAATAAATGTTATTTTCTCACTAGTTTGTAATACATTCCCCTCTTCTTTCCTCCTAGCTTGTGCCAGAGAAAAAAATCAAAACAAGAATTATGGAATTGACACTGAAAAATTTCATAGTGAATTAATGATGGCTTTTTCTAATCTTTTTTTAAGGTATTTGATCCCAAATGCAGGTGATGCTACCAAAGCCATAAAACAACAGATCATGAAAGTATTGGATGCCTTGGAGAGTTAATTACTAAAGACTTTGCAGAGAACAGTTTATAAAGAAGAAGCAACCAAGATACTCTGTGTGGACACAAGCTGACTGTTTCCCAACTTAGTACTAACTTAAGAGAATTTTTCTGTTTGCTGATGGGAGTGCCTGAGTAGCAGGCTTAAGATAGGGTAAATTATTATCAGTTTCTGAACAGAATTTTAAATTTTTTATTACGTTTTTTGTTTTGAAGATATGTTTATTATAAAGGTCAGTTTGTTTCATTTTTAATGCAGCCTTAATGTGAGTGACCTGCATCTTTCCAAGAGAAGATGCAGCTGGGTTCACATTAAGTGTGTTAAAGGAAAGAAGCACTGCCAGATACAGAGAAGCAGTTGAAAACAACGGTTTCTAAATTACCGTCTCTTGAACGTAAAATATCTCTATTACCTACTGTCTATAAATTTGATTTTGCCTACTGGGTGGTATCAAGGACCAATTAGAAACTTAGGTTTATGAGCAGAGCAGATAAAAACCTTAGAAATACTGATTCCATTAAGTCCAGCTTGGGCTGCACATAGATGGAAAAAAATGCAAGGAATTTATAAAATTAACTTTTTTTAAAAGTCTTATGCTCTACTAGGTTAAATTATTGGAATTGGTGCTAAGAGTATTTTTAAATACCCAAATGAACTGTGCACAATAAGCTTTTATTACAGGGTTGTAATTCTTTCAATTACACAACATTTTCCATGTCGGGTTGAGGCTGTTTCTCCTCTAAAGATGAGTGTGCATTGAAGTGCACTGAAACTGAAGTTAATGCTTCCTGACAGAATATGACAGTTGAACACAAGTTACCTTGCTCCTCAGAAACAAAATAGTCTAATATAATAATTAGATATTTTAAAACTTTCAGTTCATCACAGAATTATGTGCTGATAGAAGGTGTGTTCAAGAAAATTAATGCACACAAAATGAAGAAGTTCAAGTGCTGCATACCTATGTATTCATTACTCACTGCCTTCATTGAAGCATTTGTTTATATTCTTTTAACAAACATCTTCTAAATTAATTAATGTTTGATGGCAACTGTGATTGTTTATCAGCAACTTTCTGCTTGTTCCAAGAACGGTTCTTGTGTTAAAAAAGCTCAGTACAGGAATGTCCTTATGGCCAAGGCATAGCATCTCTGATGTGGAAATTATCAAAAACTGAAATCAAAATAACAGGAATTAGCTTTTCTTTGTGAAGTCTTCTGAGTGTTTGAGTCAAAACCTGTGAATTGTACATCATAAGGAGGTAAAATAAACTGACCTTTATAAAAAACAGGTATTCTAAGTTATTTTACTAGGAATAAAGCTAGGGCACCTTAATTCTGGAACTAATTCCTTCTTTTTGTTCTTAGTATCTGAGTAAACACCAATAGAACTTGAACTGTTGAAGATATTTGCATGAAATTGCACCTGGGCCAATGCTCATGTATTTATAGTTTTGCCCAGCAGCTGTTGTATTACATTTTCCTCTTCCTACTCCTTTCTCAAAATATCCTGAAGAGTCTCTGACTCTGTGCCTACTTCAGCAATGAGATTTTTTTCATGTAAAGATGTTTGTGTTACTGTTTATAAACTACAGTTGTAAATAAACCAGTACAATTTGAACATAACTTGTTCTGTCAGAATGCATTTAGTTGCATACTGTGTGAGTTCTCTGAATCAATTAACGATTTTTCCTAAAGGTATTTTGTAAATGGAGGCGAATTTGATCTTCGGAGTGGAAGCTGATTATGAATCATAGGGAGCTACTGTCTGACATCTTTACATTTGTAAGTATTTTGGAATTTAGACTAATTTCATTAAATACTTTTGGGTGAGCCATAGTAAGCATTCATAGAAAGGTCAAAATGAGGTAACAAATGGTCAGATTATAAAGGGGGTCTCTGCATAAATTCCAGATTTCTCAGCATCATACTTTTATGTTATGAAAATGTTGACAAAAATGATACAGCTCATTTCTCCTAGTCATTGGGTAGGAATTGTGAAAAGCGCACAGTTGTTAAACATGTATTTGGGTATTAAATATGGAAAGTGTATGCTTCTCTGAGGACAACAAATACAGACCTTTTAGATCCACAGTAAGTAAAGGTATGCTAAGTCAGTTCTTAAACCTCTTCTGTGTAGAAATGTATAATCCCAGCCATTAAGAGGATTATTTGTAATTTTTAAGGCAATGTGCAAGTTATCAACAGACTCCTTATTTTACAAAGCTCAGTCCAAACTATTAATAATTTAAATGGTTTTATGCAATTTAAAGTCTACTTTTGCTTTATAGCATACATATCTGTAATTAGTGTGCTTGTTACAAAACTTGTACTGCTAAGCAGAAATTCCAGTTGTAATAATGGAAGGACAGTTTTTGAAAAGAAAAATCAAAGTAGTATGCTACTTCCTGTCCCTTTCATCTTCACAATTTATTTTTTTTTTGTTTATCTGCCAGCAGTTTGCAGGCTCTTGGTTTATTTTACATGCACTACTATCTATATTGCTGAATATGAGATGACAGCTGCTATGTTGCTGGCATTTTAATTTTGTATTTATTTTGATGACTGAAATTATGTCTGCAGCAGGAAAGAAACTCTCTTCTCAGAGTAAGCTTTCTTACCTTTGTGTTTCAGAGACAGAGTCAGTGCTTCTGTGCTCACTGATGGCTCTTCAGTTGTCACAAATTCTTTTGGATTCTGATCTGTATGAGGATTTGTACAGAACTTTACATGTATTACCCACCAAAAATACTCTGACTGGGGAGATGTGCTTACATTGCCTTCTCCAGATGTCAGTAAAGATTGCTTGTTGCTCTTTCAGTTTAGTTCCTGTTAGGCCTTATACGTGGGTCTCAGCAGTGTTCATAGTTTTTCCTTCCAACTTCATTTCAGTTGTAGTTCCAAAACATTTGATACTGTCAAATAACCTTTTTCAATAGAGGGGTACTCTACTGAAGGGCTGAAGTTTCCCTTTTTTGGGAAGGTGATAGTGTGTAACTTGGTTTTTGGGGGTTTATTTAGTGCTTTCAGGTATTTTTGTTTTGAAACTTGAGAAATACACCATGCTCTCTGAACCATGGGAAATAATTTCAGCCTGCACTTTTTGACTTGAAGGGATGATACTGAACCACTACTAACTTTTGCTGTAAACATGTGAACTCAGGAGACGGCTGATCTTTGCACTGGAGCCCTGCAGAGTGAGCTGTTAAAAAACAAAAGTTTGTACATGCTGTTTGTACTACTATGAATGTGACTGAAAGGGAGGGAGGGTGCCAAGATGCCAAGGAGCTGCTGCATCCCCTCATCTGCACTTGTCCAGTGTTGGTAATTCTGACATCCTTTGGCTTGGTCCGTTTGGGCTGAAGTGTTCCCTTTGCTGCTTCAAGGGGCCGATTGAACAGTGTTTGTGTTGAAGGAAGATTTGTAGCTGCTGCAAGCAGGGGTGGTTGTGCATTTTATGGTGGTTATACATTTCCTGTCCTTTATCTCTCTGCACCCGCTTCTTGAAAGTGAACATAGGTAACACCCTGGGTTACCTGTTTTTATTTTTGCCCCGTCAGCTGTCATGAGTTTTCAACTTGAGGAGATACTCTGGCATGAGCAATGCTGCTTATACACACCACCAATCTGCAATTCAATAAACGTGCTTTTAAAAAGTCCAAGACTGTAAAATACATACATGAGGCAGCAGTGTTCTGAGTGGAGGGGAGCACTCGGGTGTTTCAAGCTAGTCCTAAAAAGGGCGTGGGAGTCAGGGCAGGGGTTTGCACCCCAGTTGATGCTGTTCGTGTAAAGGCAGGCGGGGGTGAGGGTGTTCTCGCTGAACGACGGGCTTGTGAGTGTATTAACCAATACACGGCTGCAAGGGGTGGGAAAATGACACGTAGGCACATCGACGCAGAGAAGCCCTGAGCCATTTCGCTGCCGCGTGGTGTTTTCGCCAGGTGCTGACCTGAGAGGGGAGGAGTGCCCCCCGCTCCCGCCCTCCCGGGGTAAGGCCGCGGGCCATGGCGCCGCCGCCCCTCGGACCTGGGCAGCTTCCTCCGCTGCTGCGAGGCTGGGCCGGGCCAGCAGCGCTCCGAGGGGCAGTGCTGGGGGAGTGCTGTGGAACCGCCCACGGCACCAGCCAGACCTCCTGAAAGCAGAGCCTGAGACGTTGTGACACAAACCCGGCGGCAGAGGACCGGCTCGACACGCAGCTGCCAGCGGCCC